GGCTGGCGTAGCTATCTTTGATCTTGACTTTGATGCTATCCTTGCTGCCATGTATGCTGTGACTATTAGTGAGGAGGGTGACTGTTACCGGTGTTTCCCGCCCGACCCGGGCATTGGTACTGCTGCGCTAGGTACTTCTGCGGCTGCTGCTCTAGGTGCCAGTGCGTCTGCACTCTCAGGTACTGGTGAGGCTGCGCTCTCAGGTACTGCGTCGGCTTCGGCCTCCCTCACCTTCACGCTTGACTCAGGGGCTTCTCGCTCCTTCTTTCGAGACCGCACCACACTCACGCCGCTTGGCCGGCCGGTTGCAGTCTCCCTGGCTGACCCCTCTGGGGGTCCTGTCCTCTCTCACTTCTCCACTGTCCTCCCGTGTCCGGCTGCCCCCTCGGGCACCTTGTCTGGTCTGTACCTCCCCTCGTTCTCGACGAACTTGGTGAGTGGTGCTGACCTGCAGGATGCGGGGGTTCACCAGTTTACTCCTGCGAGTCAGCGGGTGACCCACTGCTCGGACGCCCGCACAGGCCGACACCTGGCCACGTTTTCGCGTCGGCCGGGGTCGAGTCTCTACACCCTGACCACTGAGTCTCCTCCTGTCCCTGCGTCTGGCCAGGTAGCTGCGTCGGGTCAGGTGTTTGCTGCTGCGTCCAGGTCTGGTCCTGAGTCTGCCCCCTGCTCGTGTCGCCGCCTGTCTCAGGAGACCCTCCTGTGGCACCACCGTCTTGGCCACCCCTCCTTGCCTCGTCTTCGGGGCATGGCTTCCCGTGTCCTTGTCTCTGGCCTTCCCCGGTCTCTCCCTCCCCTTCCTTCGGGACCCGGACCTTCCTGTGTCCCCTGTGTCGAGGGGCGGCTCCGGGCTGCCCCTCACTCCTCCCAGTTTCCCCCGACAGAGGCTCCTCTGCAGACGCTTCACATGGACGTGTGGGGCCCGGCCCGCGTCCGTGGGCAGGGTCACGAGCGCTACTTCCTGCTGGTGGTTGACGACTACTCGCGTTACACCACAGTCTTCCCCTTGCGCAGCAAGGGTGATGTCACTGAGGTGTTGATCGACTGGATCCGCGCAGCTCGTCTCCAGCTCAGGAGGAGCTTCGGCTCGGACTTTCCTGTTCTGCGTCTGCACTCTGACCGAGGTGGAGAGTTCTCCTCTGGCCTTCTGCGAGCCTACTGTCGTGCACGAGGCATCCGCCAGACCTTTACGCTTCCGGACTCTCCACAGCAAAATGGGATTGCTGAGCGCCGCATTGGCATGGTCATGGACGTCGCTCGTACGTCCATGATGCATGCGGCTGCCCCCCATTTTCTGTGGCCGTTTGCGGTTCGGTACGCGGCGCATCAGATCAACCTTCACCCCAGGGTCTCCCGGCCGGAGACCTCCCCAGCTCTGCTATGGACGGGGAAGGTCGGCGATGCGTCTGCGCTCCGTGTCTGGGGATCTCGGGCGTTTGTCCGCGACTTGTCTGCGGACAAGCTGTCCCCTCGTGCTGCTCCCTGTGTCTTCCTCGGCTTCCCCCCTGACGCCCCAGGGTGGCAGTTCTACCACCCCTCCTCTCGTCGTGTTCTGTCCTCCCAGGACGTCACGTTCGACGAGTCAGTCCCCTTCTACCGCCTCTTCCCCTACCGCACTCCTTCCCTCCCCCCGCCACCGCACTTCCTTGTGCCAGGTCCCCCCCCGGTAGACCCCCTTCCCCCTCAGGGTCCTGCCCCTTCAGGTGTGTCCCAGGTAGACGCGGTCGAGCCGGTCGAGGTTGCTGGTGACTCTGGTCCTGCTGCGGGTGCTGAGCCTGGGGGTGCTGACTCTGGGGGTGCTACGCGCGTGGGTGCTGAGCCTGGGGGTGCTGAGCCTGGGGGTGCTGAGTCTGGGGTGCTGAGCCTGGGGGTACTGCGACTGGGGGTGCTGCGCCTGGGGGTGCGGAGTCTGGGGGTGCTGAGCCTGGGGGTGCTGCGACTGGGGGTGCTGAGCCAGGGGGTGCTGCGTCTGGAGCTGCTGAGCCTGGAGCTGCGGAGCCTGCGGCCACTGGACCTCCCCTTGTGGCGTCTGGCGGTGCGGGACCTGGCGGTTCTCCGGGTGCTTCGCCTCGGCGGGAGCCCCTCTCTCCACAGGAGCTGCGCGAGTGGTTTGCTCGCCGCTGGAGACGTACTGCTGGAGCTGGAGCTCCTTCGGCTGCTGAGGGTACTTGTGCCGCTGGTCCCGGAGCTGCTGGGCCCTCGGGTCCGCCTGGAGCTGGAGCTGCTGCGGGTGTTGGTGCTGAGACTGCTGCTGTCCTTCCTGGCGGTGGCCCTGCTGCGGGTGCTGCTGGTGCTGCTGGAGGTCCTCCCGCTGGAGGTGCGGTTGGCGCTGGTGCTGCTGCTGAGGGTGCTGTCCCTGCTGTGTCTGGAGTCGCCGCGCGGCCTCGGCCGTACTTCGTTCCCCTCCTACAGCAGGTTCTTGGTCTTTCTCCTCCTGCAGCGTGTCCACCGCCTGTTCAGTCACAGTCCCAGTTAGAGCCCGCCTCCCCACTTCCTGCTCCCTCTCCTTACACTGGTCCCACTGGAGGTCTTGCTGAGCGTCGTGAGCCTGCGTCTCGTCCTGCGTCGCCTGTTCGTGCTGCTCGCGCTAGTGGTCGCGGTTCGCGTCAGCGTCCTCCTCCTGTCCCTGGCACGCACCGGATGTCTTTGCGTCCGTCCACTGCTCCTCTGCGTGCCCCTTTGCCTTCTCCTCTTGAGTCCTCCCTTCCTGCACTTACCGACCCAGAGTCCGACTCTCTTCGTGCTGCTAGTCCTACTGCCACACGTCTTCTTGCTACTGTCGTCACTGACCCCTCTTTTGAGTCCACTGCTGCGTCTGCGCTTGTTGCTGAGCTCGTCGACTTTGCTGCTCGCTGTCGTCTAGACTACGCTGCCGGTCTTGTTGCTGAGTCTGCGTCTGTCTGTCCTCCGTCCGTCGGGGGTGAGTGTGCTCTTGGCACGGACGTCCTTGAGGACAGGCAGGAGGAGTTCCAGTGTCTGGCTGCTGCTTCACCTCATCTCGCGTCCGTACTACTTGCCCCTGAGGGAGACCCGGATGCACTAGACATCCCGACTCCGCGCTCTTACGCGGAGGCCGTAGAGGGTCCCTACTCCTCTCAGTGGCAGGCAGCTATGGATGCAGAGATGGCGTCCTGGAAGTCCACAGGCACCTACGTTGACGCGGTTCCCCCTCCTGGGGCGAACATCGTCAGTGGCATGTGGATCTTCAGGGTGAAGCGGCCGCCGGGCTCTCCACCTGTCTTCAAGGCGCGGTACGTCGCTCGTGGCTTCAGTCAGCGGCAGGGAGTTGACTACTTTCAGACCTTCTCTCCCACCCCGAAGATGACCACTCTTCGGGTGCTACTGCACATAGCCGCTCAGCGCGACTACGAGCTCCACTCTCTTGACTTCAGCACTGCTTTCTTGCAGGGTAGCCTGCACGAGGAGATCTGGCTGCGCTGTCCACCTGGCTTCACTGGGACTTTCCCTCCTGGCACCCAGTGGAGCCTCCGACGGCCAGTCTACGGTCTCCGCCAGGCACCGCGTGAGTGGCACGACACACTGAGGACTACGCTTGCGGCTCTTGGGTTTGCTCCCTCTACTGCTGACCCGTCGTTGTTTCTGCGCACCGACACTTCTTTGCCGCCGTTCTACATCCTCGTGTACGTCGACGACTTGGTCTTTGCCACAGCTGACACTGCTGGACTAGCCTACGTGAAGTCCGAGCTGCAGAAGAGACACACGTGCACAGACCTGGGTGAACTGCGCAGCTACCTTGGCTTGCAGATCACTCGGGACAGAGCACGCCGCACCATTACCTTGACTCAGTCACACATGGTGCAGCAGGTCCTTCAGCGCTTCGGCTTCACGTACTCCTCGCCTCAGGCCACTCCTCTGTCTACTCGCCACTCGCTCTCAGCTCTGCCTTCGGATGAGTCCGTAGAGTCGAGTGGCCCGTACCCAGAGCTTGTTGGTTGCCTCATGTACCTGATGACCTGCACACGACCTGACCTTGCATACCCTCTTAGCATTCTTGCACGCTATGTTGCTCCTGGGAGACACCGACCAGAGCACATGGCTGCAGCGAAGAGGGTGTTGCGCTACTTGTGCAGTACGTCGGGCATGGGGCTAGTGCTTGGAGGGCGGAGTCCAGTGGTCCTCACTGGGCACGCGGACGCTTCTTGGGCTGACGACCAGGCTACACAGCGGTCGTCGCAGGGTTACACCTTCAGTCTTGGTTCCGGCTCTGTCTCGTGGCGGGCTACACGCTCGTCCTCTGTTCTCGGCTCCAGTTGTGAGGCTGAGATCTACGCCGGGGCCATGGCTGCACAGGAGCTTCGCTGGCTCACCTACCTGCTGACTGACCTTGGAGAGCCGCCTCGTTCTCCTCCAGTGCTGTACGTAGACAACAAGGCCATGCTGGCCTTGTGTCGAGAGCAGCGCTTGGAGCACAGAACGAAGCACATTGCTCTCCGTTACTTTCTTGCTCGTGAGCTGCAGCAGCGTGGTCAGTTGCGACTTGCGTACGTGGCCTCTCAGGCCAACACTGCTGATGTGTTCACCAAGGCACTTGCGCCTTGTGACCATCAGCGCTTCTGCACTCAGCTGGGTCTTGTACCTGTCTTGCCTCACTTGCTCTCCTCTTGACCTTGCTTGTACTGTCACATATATATACCTGCTCTTGCTTGTCTAGCTCTATATATATATGTGTGCACTCCTGCATGTGAACTGGCCTTGTGGCCTTGTCGTTGTGCTCGGACTGTGTGGTGACTTTGTGATCCACCCTGAGCTTGCTGTGCTTTGTGTGACTGGTCTTGTGACCCCTTGTTCTCCCCCACTTTGCCTATGGGGGTGTGTCAGAACATACATATAGCTTATGCTGTTGTGTAGGCTATAGTGGGGTATCCCATAGGGGGTACAACCCAATTAGGGTTTCCTATATGTACTCACTTCATTCATAGTTCATCCATTCGCTTTCTCCTTTTCTCAAACACAACATACATGACCATACCCATTCACTAATCACACCTCACCTTCCACGCCTTGTCAGCAGGGAGCAGATCCAGGGCGCTCTGCAGCACAGGCGACCTAGATGACCTAATGTAGCTCCGGCGAGCATCATCACTCTCGTCGTCCTCGTCGCCTTCGGAAGCAGAGCTGCGAGCCTCAACACGGCGACGTTTCGGGTTGGCACACCCGAGTCCCGGATCTCTCTGCTTCTCTGCTTTCCGACGACGAGACCCTACAGGACTCTTTGCCAGGGCGTTCAACAACATTTCTTCCAGACGAGCCACGGTCTTAGCGTTGTCATCTTGCGCCCGTTTAAGACTATCAAACACAGCCCGCGAGACGGTCACCTCCTCGGTGGGGTTTCTTGACCCCTCGGGGGATGCGCGCAAAGCGACCAGGGGGTCATCTTCCTCCACATCAGGGGGGTTAACGTTGACCCCTTTGGATGCATTCGGCGTGCCAGAAAGAACATGCTCGACGGTCTTGGTTTTGGCCGGGCCCTCATCACTGTCGCCCTTGCTCGCCGACTGCACCGATTCGGATTCTTCGGCATCAGAATATTCGCGCTGTTGTGTTGCCTCCGTGGTCTCAAGGCCCTCGGTTTCATCTGAAAAGAATATCACGGCATCATAATTAAAAAACATGCATTAGTAACATCATCCACACCACACAATGAGGTATCCGGTTATGGATATTACGCGAGCAGGCATAACTAACAAACCGCATAAACAACCGAAAACCGCATACCATCCTCCACAGAAGTTGCAATCTTCTTCAGCCTGGGAAAGTTTAACTTCTTCGGGATATTAGACCCCCGGGGACCCCTTGCACCACGGCCCCTTGGCACAGCCAGTTGATAAGACGCCCGCAAATACGCTGGCGCCTGAGTCGCCCTCCGGGATCTCCCTGCTGTCTCGGTGTTCTGGGAGGCAATAGAGTTTTCCATCTTGGAAACTGTAATGACAGAAGTGAATGAGGAGTTCCTGCGCTGAGGTCTTTTGAACGTGCACGATCAACCTGTGTCCAGCTTCTAGGTTGCACAAAACCTGAGAGGTATTCGGTAACCATTTCATTATGTGGATTACCGCAACCCAAACGTCCAATAAGAGGATGCAACATCAGCAGCAACGTGAACCCCCAAAACAAACGTGCAACCCCCGAGTTATAGCGCATGAACACTCCACGCGTGTATGTATTTGAAAACCGCATACAAATTTGAAAACGCACTATCATGTTAGTCAACAGTGTGCGTTTTATGCAGACATGATTCTACCAAGCACATGCCAACCCGCGTGCTCAAAACGGATCACCATTGTACGGCTCTATCATACAAAACTAAATCGTGAGTAACCCAAAAACAACAGAAACCATTGTATGTTGTAAAGATCCCTTATAAACCCACACGTCCTATGCCAGTACCAAACACCCCTACTCTGATCCATCATCGTCACCATTCTCCTCACCAACGTACTCCGCATCGCCCTCATCACCCTCATCTCCCTCTTCGCCCTCATCACCCACATCCTCAATCTCATTGCCGCTGGCACCCTCAGACTGCCCTTCGTTCTCCATGAGACCGGGACCATCATTACCTACCGGCTCCGTTTGTCCGGTTCCTGCTCCATCACTCCCCATCGTTTCATCATCCCCGCCAGCAGCCACCTTGCCATTCGTTCTCCTCTTCTTTCCCCGTGTGTTAGATGACGGTGTCTTCCTCACACGTTTCTTTTTGGCAGCGATTTCCTTCAACACCATCCCCCACTTCCTCCACCGCCACCACATGCGCGCACCCACGAGCTGCACCACCGCATTCTTGTCACAGCCATCCAGCAACGCCTTCTGTGCATCTGTCAGGGGGATGGTGTTCTCCATCTCCTCACCGTGACGCAGCACATAAGCAGCAGCGGCAAACGCCTGGGCGGCCTCCGTCGGGGTTGTGTAAGCTCCTAGGCGATGCTGATGCCTTTTATCCCCCTCCCACGCCAATATCTTCGCAGCCCACTTCCCAGTGGCCTTCTCCTTGGAAATCCCCGTGTACTTTGCCGCCTCAACATCCTCGTCGTCGCCTCCCTCTCCTGCTTTCACGTGTTGCCCTGCCGATGGGTGGCTGGGCTGTCCAGGCACCGTGCCCTTCTGCACACTGGGGATCCCTAGGACGGACGAAGGCTGCTGTCGGGAAATCACCCAGTGCGGTATAGTACCGGGTTGCGGTATTGGAGCCGCGGACGCTGGAATCTGCAAACCGACCCCCATGAACTTGGCAGCAAGCGACACACGCATATCTGTACACATAACGGCCTCATCGGGACTCTCCAGACCGGGTTTAGCAAATCCGGAAGGGCGATGTGTCAACGGGAGTTGTTGTTGGCCCCGTCCTCGCTTGGGCGGAGCCGACCTCGTGGTTGGGTGTACGGGAGGTACAGCCGACTTGCAGCAGTGGTCGACGGGGTTGGTCGACTTGCACGGGGCCACTGCAATGCCGCCGACTTGGGAAGCCGGCGGCCGACTTCAACTGGTGGTCGGCGATGTGGCACGTCGACCTGGAAGTCGGCGCCGCCTTGCAAGGTCACCGACTTGCAAGGTCACCGACTTGCAAGGTCACCGACTTGCAAGGTCACCGACTTGCAAGGTCACCGACTTGCAATGTCACCGACTTGCAAGGTCGCCGACTTGGGAGGTCGCCGACTTCAAGAGGTCGGCCCGGAAGTTGGCGCCGACTTCAGAGGGGTTGACCTGGGAAGTCGACCTGCGGAGGGCGTCGACTTGGTGACGCCGACTTCGGGTAGCCGACTTGGGTGGTCGGCTGACGACTGTGTTGGTCGACGTAGAGCTGGTCGACCAGGAGGGACGTCGACCTGGAGCTGGTCGACCAGGGGTGTGGTCGACCTGGTGAGGTCGACTTGGGGTGGTCGTCGACTTGGGAGGTCGACGGGCACATACAGGAGCAGCTGGTCGACATGGTTGCCCGGTCGACCATGTTACCTGGGTGACGAAGTCCTGCGGAGGGGTGCGACGGTCGCCCAGGCGAAGTTGGCGAGTCCGACCTCGTTGGTGGTATCCCGAGGTCGACGTGGCTGATCAGATGCAGTCGTCAGTGCCAGGTTGACTTGGTGTGTGCGCTGTGCAGGTGACGAGGCTCAGCACGCCAATCATCTGCGAGCACCTGCGAAGCTGGTGCGATGCTGTACTGCGGGAGAAACGCTGGCACGCCGTCAACCTGCATTGTTGGCACGCCGTCGACTTTGCACTGCTGGAGCGCGGTAGACCAAGTCGTGCTGGAACGCGGTCGACCATGCTGTGCTGGCAGTTGACCAACCTGAATGCTAGCTCTGATGTAGTCTTGCCATGCCAACTTCTTTGTACCATTGTTGTCAACTTTCTCTAGTGAAACTCTTGCCAACTTGCCCCGTGAACTAGCAAGTAGTGTGTGCACTAGGAAAACGACTAAGGACCAAAGAACGCCGAGATCACACGAGCACCCGTGCCTAGCCCGTAGTCTAGCTCCCGTTGTAGTAGTTATCTCCGCATGGTGCGGTGAGCGTGGACGGCACACGACTTACCTTTCAGTCAGGTCGACGTAGAGGTAACATACCTAAGTTGCTCGTAGGCCGGCATCCGTACAGGTCCCTAACGTGCGCGTAGGTGACGCCAAGGTGATGGACACCCTGGAGGGACGGCTGGAGGATGCGAGGAGACGCCATGAGGCCCAGGAGTACGGGACGATACCTTGGGCGGTCGTTGAGGCTGGACTCCGCTCCGTGTGGGCGACGGAGCATCCCCCTTCTCGACCAGCTTCTCCTCGACCGGTGACCAACGAAGGCGGCGTCGACGTGGGCGTCAACGCCGGAGGTGGCCAAGTCGGCAGCAGTGCGGGAGGCACGTCGAGGCAGAGAGGTGTGATTCACACCGATGAAGTCGGCGGCGTTCAGGCGCGAGGGGTGCCATCGTCGGCGGCTGCAGGCTCCTCGCAGGGCGACGTCGGAGGACGACGAAGCGGTTTGTCGCCGATGTCGGCGACCCAGGTGACGGCGGGCAGGATTGCACCGAGCTACGGCTACTTCAAGTTTGCGCCGGACAGGATCTTGGTCACCCCACCGCTCGTTGGTCGACAGGACATCCTCACCTGGAAGGAAGCCATCGAGCCCCAGCTAGAGATGGCTGGGCTGATCAACTTTGCCCGAGGATCCGTGGTGACGCCGGACGACCCCGACCTACGTGCGGAGTTTCGCGCCGTGCAGCTGTTGACCTTCATGGTCATCTCGCGGTGCTGCTCGCCGGGTGTGCAGATAGCCTTGAAGTGGTGTTGGGAGTACGTCGACGCCGGCCACCAGGCGTGGCACTTCATTGAGTCGACCTACCAAGTCACCGACGACCTGTTCATCGCCCAGCTGGAGGGACAGCTGACGCACCTGCGTATGGGCGACGAGGAGACGGCGACCGACTACTGCAACCGTGCCAGGCGAATTCTCGCCACCATCAGAATGGCCGGCGCGCAGTACTCGACGGCGTCGTACGTCACCCACGTCATGCAGGGACTTTCGAGCAACTACAACCTCCTGAAGCGGCTGTCAATGGCGCCAGGCACGAGGACGACGCTCAACGAGGACAACTTGACCTCGTACATCCTGCAGGACGAGGCGATGCAGGAGGCAGAGCGGTCCCAAGAGCTCTTGGCGCAGGCCAACTTTGTCGCCCCGGCGAAGCAAGGAGGTCGACCAGGGCAGCGCGGACAGTCTGGCGGCGGAGGTGGCAGTGGCTGGAAGCCGGCCAAGGAGGTCGACCAGAAGAGGTCGACCAAGGATAGCGGTCGAGGAGGAGGAAGTCGACGTCGGGAGTGCTGGCTGTGCGGCGACCCCGACCACCTCTCCTTCGAGTGCCCCGACCGCAGTGACTCCGAAGACGACGACGCCAAGGGAGGCCGCGGGAGGTCTAGCACTCGTCGTCCTCGTCGAGGAGGAAACCAGCCGCGCAAGGAGAAGCAGTCGACCAAGACGTCGACTTCGGCGAAGGACGCCGACTCCTCTGCTGGCGGCAAGGCGCGGGACGACAAGACGACGTCGTGCTCGCTGGTCGGCGTCGTGGAGCCGACCGTCTCGCTGGCGCCGGAGGCCGGAGAGGACTTCCAGGCGGTGGCGGCAGCTGTGCAGGCGAACCCGGCAGTGGTCCTGCTCGACAGCGGCTGCTCCCACCACCTGATGGGGATGAAGGAAGTCTTCGTCGACCTGCAGCCGAGCGGCTCCATCAAGCACGTGCGCGGCTTCAATGGGGCGCTGCAGGACGTCCAGGGCCGAGGCACCGTCGCCCTGCAAGGAGAGGCCGGGAAGCAGGTGCTCATCCCCGACGTGCTGTACGTCCCGGGTGTGCGGGCCAACCTGCTGTCGTCCGGCCAACTGAAGGAGCACGGCGTGAAGCTGCAGGAGGATGGCGACGGGATGTTGCTCGTCTCGGCAGCGGGCGAGGTGCTCGGTCGGGCGACGTACTCCGGGCGTTTCCTCTGCACCGACCTGCGTCCCTGCTCAACGAGGTCGACGTCGCCCACGATGGAGGTTGTGGCCCTGCGGGCGATCGTCTCGAAGACGAAGTCGACGCCGGACAGGATGCATGCGAGGCTTGCGCATGTCGGCATGGACACCATCAGGAGCTCGGCGAAGAACGAGGTCGCCATTGGACTGGACCTCAAGTCGGCGACGGGCGCCGACTCACCGTGTGTCTCGTGCGTCGGCGGGAAGCTGGCGCGGCACACCTTCCCCGACCAAGGCTCCGACGCCGACGACGTGCTGGCCGTCGTGCACATCGACCTGTGCGGGCCGTTCCGCGTGGCTGCCAAAGACGGCAGCCTGTACTTCCTGCTGCTGAAGGACCGCAAGACCCGCTTCGTGTGGGTGAGGCCGGTTGCCAAGAAGTCGGACGTGCTGCTGGAGTTCCAAAAGTGGATGGTGTTGGTGGAGAGGCAGACGAAGAAGTCGGTGCTGATGCTTCGCTCCGACCGAGGGGGGGAGTTCCTCGGGAAGAAGTTCACCGACTTCGTGGACGGAAAGGGGATCGTCCACGACCTTACCTGCCCGTACACCCCGCAGCAGAACGGCATGGCGGAGAGGGAGATGCGGACGGTGGTGGAGTCGGTGCGGACGATGCTGCTGCACATGGGCGTGCAGCACCACTGGTGGCACCTCGCCCTGCGGCAGGCCGTCTGGATCCGCAACTGCCTTGAGCGGTCGACGCTGCCGCCGGGGACGACGCCGTACCAGCTGCTGGTCGACCAGAAGCCCGACTTATCGATGGCGAGGGTGTGGGGCTGCATGGCGCAGTTCCTTGTCCCCGAGCAGCAGCGTGGTGGGAAGTTGAAGCCGAAGGCCAGGTGGGGCCTTCACCTTGGCGTGTCGGCGGAGAGCAAGGGCTGGGAGCTCCTCGACATCGACGCCAACCGGGTGGTCACCACGTCCGACGTGGTCTTCTACGAGGAGATGTCGCTGGCCGAGTGGAAGTCGGAGCACGGGTCGGTGTCCGGCCGAACGCCGTCCACCCCGCCAACCGACACCTCGTCGGCGACGCTTCCTCTGCTCGCCGAGGTCGGTGGGCTTGCTGCTGAGGACGACGAGGACGTCCGTCCTCCTTCCCCTCCCTCTCCTGCCCCTCCCCTCGTGGCCGACCTGCGCGGGCTGACCTCGGTGTCGGCCTCTGGCGATGAGGGGAGTAGTGGGACGTCGCCTTCGGCGCCGGCCAAGGGCATCGCCGGTGGCCGACGTGACGAGCGGCAAGTCGACGCGGGAGTGAAGTCGACGTTGACAGGGGAGGAGCAGGTCGAGGAGGAGCAGCCGACTTGGGTGAAGCCGGCGAAGAAGGCAGCTGAGAAGCAGCCGACAGGGGAGCAGGCAGCGGTGAAGCCGACCGCGGAGCAGTCGGCAACCAGGCAGTCGGCAGGGACGCCGACCACAGGGGAGAGGTCGACTAGGAAGTCGACCGAGGTGCAGCAGGACGACGAGGGCAGTGAGGACGCCGGGGAGTCCACCAAGAGTGACGTGGTGGAGGTTCGGCCTGCACCTCGGAAGTCGAATAGACTTCGGAGGCCGCCGGACTTCTTCGTCCCCGCTGCCTTCACCACAGTGTACGACGTGGACGATGACGACGACCTGCTGTACGACGACGCCGAGGAGGATGAGGAGTTTCCGGAGCTCGGCCCGGACATGCTGGCCGACCCCGAGCACCGTTGGGACATCTCGACGATGACGGTGAAGGAGGCTTTGGCGAGCTGG